TTATTATTTATTTGTGTCCTGCATAATGTACACAGCAATAACGATATCCATTTAGTGTAATAGTCAGGCATTGCCCTAATTATATTTTATATTTATTAGGACAAATAAATTATGCAAAATTGATCACTAGTTTGTTAGAATTATTTTTGATTATAATATGTAACTATAGTATTTAATATTATTAACATTCACTAGAAGCATTTTCCAGTTGTATACATTAATATATTTTAAGTATATTTAGATTCTGTCACGACTTGATTATTTAAGTTGAATTGCGTATTTCACAAAATGTAGCAAAGCCATGGATACAAGCACAGTTTGCTGGTATATTTGGCATTTAGAACAATATGTAAAAATAGTATATATTATTTGAAATATTATTTGTCCATACATTTTGTCGCATCTGTATTTCACAAAATATATCAAGGTACAAGCAAACGTTTCTGATACATTTGTCATAGGAAAGATAATAAATACACGTCTATATGATCAGACCATTATTCGCAATTGCTGTAACCATCTTGTCTACGTTTATTTATCACCTAAAAATCCTATACAACTTAAGGTTGTATGCGCGGAAATGCACTGCGCATACGTTCTGCGCATTTGAAGCAGACTTTCAAGATGGCTGCCACAACAAACAAGTACACTTCGCGATCACCGAATGTACGCAAATTTAAAGGATTTTTGACCGAGAAAGAGAAGAGAAGAAGACTGGCAGTGATCCAGGCGAACCGCCAACATAAGAAAGTTGCTGAAGTAGTTTTAGAATCAAATTCAGGTACGTACGTACGGTGTCAGTATACGACGTAAACTTTGGTTGAGTCGTCTGCTACTGTTATCCACAACTCGAATCAATATATTTTCACATTTTATTTGTTTTTATGAACATCGGATTATGCTTATTTTGGGGGAAACAGTGTTTATTTTTTCCTAATTCCTGTTTCACTAAATACAGAAATTGTGATAAAAAAAATATTTGACAACGAAGTTTGTCTGTCGCGTCGTCTGCAGCTTTCAT